TTAATATATTTTGGAATTACTTTAATGTAATATAGTCATGCAACAAGCATATATAGATGTAAATTGTTCTGTGACCGCTTACAAAACTCTTATTGTGTCCTGTATCTACCTTTACCACTTAGAATGTTAATGAAATCTACGCCTCCCACACTTCACCAGCCAAAGAAGTACAAAGAAACAAACATTTTGCACTCCAAGCGAACTTCAGATGACAGGTCAGATCAATCATCAGTGAAGTCTACAGACAGCAGTAGCTATCCTAGCCCCTGTGCTAGTCCTTCTTCTCCAATGTCGGGAAAGGTAGAGTTCTCATAAACAAATTACCCTTCTCTTCAGAATTAATGGAATTTCAGAAATAAATTTGTGTCTTGATATCTTTCAGCAACTATCAAGTAAATTAATAAATTAAGATAAATAAAGATGATGAATTAAGAACCTAACTTAGATTTTCGTTCTTAACAACTGCATAATACTTGTTTCTTTCTGGAACTTAGAATCTAGACTAAATCTCCTTGTTACACTAGTTTAAAAATACTATTCTTTGTAGACTGCTGAGGTAAAGCTATCCAAAGTAGAAAAAAATGTGGGTGGTTTTTTTTTTTTTTAAAAATTTGATACACCAGTGAGGGTGTATTAATTTTTTTTTTCTGAGTTACTATACAGTATACTGAACTTCTGAATTCTTTGCCTTCCTCTGTTTCTTCGATAGCATACATTGATACTGATTCTTCTTAAGTTTTGTGTTATCTGCCTTATTATGACTTCTTGCTTTTTTAATGATGGTTATTTTAAGAAAGCATACATTTTTAATTAGGTTATTGGCATGATTTTCCCTATGTACTTGAATAAAAACTGCATTAATATTAAACAGATCACTGAGAGAAAACCCCGTTGTTCCTCTAGGCACGGACTCATTGGAGGATTTAATAATTCCTCTTAAGTCTTTCAGTTTTTAGATTCAGACAGTGTAAAAGGGAGAAAACTTATGTTTTCTGAAGGTGCAAATGTGAGTAGTGTGCTTCAAGCTACAGTCTAAAGTGATTAATTTTGTGTTATCTGATGGTGTGTCAGACTTCAAAAAATTATAATTAATCACTAGACTATTTAGACCTGTTCTGCTATACTTATTTGCTGCCCCGCATGAATGGATTATTAATTTGGAAAGTACTTAAAAAATATAAAATAGATGTGAAATACATTTTAAAACCAATTCAGACAGTACCAGCTGATAGATTCTATGCTTGTGGACTCTGGAAAGAGGAGGGTAGGAGCATAGTGAAGGGGTTTCTGTCTTCATCTGTGTAAAATTTTAGAACTAAAGCCTAATTTATTTTATGTAGCTTAATTTAATTTAATTTTTCCAGGGTTCCAAATCTCCGTCACCAAGACCAAAGATGCCAGTTCGGTACTTTATAATGAAAAGTAGCAACTTGCAGAACATTGATATTTCTCAACAGAAGGGTATATGGTCTACTACACCAAGTAATGAACGAAAACTAAATCGAGCGTTTTTGGAGAGCTGCACGGTTTACTTAATATTTTCTGTTCAAGGGTCCGGACACTTTCAGGTGAGTCCTTAGTTGATACTAAATATTAGCTTTAGTTGATGGTTTAGGAGAGCACAGCAAATGACTATGTGTAGTGTGGAGGGTTTTGCTTATGACTTCTGACCTAATAAGTAGGGTAGCAAGCAAATCTATCTGATTGCTGAGGAAAGAATACTTCATTCTTCTCAGAAATACGTCCTTTAAGCTAACTCAGTTTGTCACTCAAAGGCTAAAACTCCATGGACTCCATTTGGATGCCTCCAAACATCGAGTCAGAACAATTTTTATACCTGCATTAATCCTTTAAAACAACAAGAAAACAAACAAACAGGCAAATCCAAACAGAGCAAGGGATTGCTACTTTTTCCTCCGCATGCCAAAATAAATATTGTAAGTGAACAAGCAGTTCTAATCACATCACAGTGTTCTAAAACCAGGAAACTCATCTATATCTTACAAATTTTAATAAAATCTGTTTTGCCTGAACTATAGTTTCTAAAAGTTAGGAAGCTGGAAAGTCACAGCCATGAGTCTCCCAGACCTGTGTCTTGGCTTCAGGTGTACCAAAGTATTTGTCAACAATTTGTAGACAAATTTGTAGCCAATTTGAAGTTAAAGGCTTGACCTGGTAGTGCAAAGTTGAAGGTTAGCTCTGTTGTACAGAGGACTAACCTCAGTTGTTCCAGGTAAAGAAAGTTCAATGTACTTCTTTATACGTAAACTATTCATAAAAGTCAGATAAACTTAAAATCGAATGAACTAGGCCAAACATAGCTGTCTTGATATACCACTGAAGGATTACAGTGAGATATACAGATGATGATTTGGCAAATGCAGATGTAATACTGGAGAGTAATTTTCAGCGTGGCAGTTGATACAGAAAATGAGTATTGTACTGGTGCCCTTAGACAAGGAAGCTGGGAGGGAAGGACGTGTTGTAGTCAGGAGTGTAGGGGGTTGATGTTGCCTTGCCCTTCCAGTTTTGACACTACGCTGAACATTCATGGGAATGTGAATATTGTCTTGTACTAACTGTCTCTTTACACCTTTAATTTTCCTCTGTTCCTTTTATTAATTTCCATTTAACTGTGGCTTGAGCTATATAAGACTACGTGTCTTACAACACTGGCGTGTCCTGGCAACGTACGCAGTGCACTGCATTGCTTGGACTTCTAAGTCATAAGTGACATAAATTTGCCTGAATAGTTGATAAGTTGGGTGTGTAGTGTTTTTTTTGTTTTGTTTGTTGTGTAGGCAAGTAGGGGTGTCCTTAAAAAAGTCGGAAGCAATCTGGGATTTGGGGGTTCTTTTATTGTCCTTCTGAATGCTTGTGTTTTTGAAATTTCTTCCTGCTTTGTTGAAGAAGGAAACAAAAGCAACTCTGACTTCTTCTTTCTCTGAAGAACAGCTACACTCAATTCTGTGTGAAAGTTTGTTAAAATAGAGGGAACATGGAAAGGAAGGAGTGGATTTCTACAAAAAATACCTCCAACTAACAAGAAATGGCTAATGGACTGTTACGTAGTAGAACATTCATCGTGATTCCTTGCACTTCAAGTGGTTTTATGACACCTTTTCAACCTCTGTTACAAAGCTTAAAAAAGCTTTTAATAGTAATTGTGAGAGATTAAGTGACAGACATTCCCTGTGGTAAAACTCTAGAAGGCATATTTGAAGTGAAAAAACAAGTGATAACTTTCTAGATGTAAACTTTTTAAAAGATCCAGCTTCATGGGGGAGAGTGTGTGAGTCACTTTGAAACTAATGTGAAAGTTTCATTTGACATCCAGTCATTTATTTAATTCAAAACTAAGCAGAAATGCTCTAATTATGTCTTTCCTTTCATATTTCAATTTTTTCCTCCAGGGTTTTGCTAGAATGGCTTCAGAAATAGGGTGTGAGAAAAGTCAAGACTGGGGATCTGCTGGTTTTGGAGGTGTATTTAAAGTGGAGTGGATCCAAAAAGAAAACATTCCTTTTCAGTTTGCACACCATTTACTTAACCCTTGGAATGACAACAAGAAAGTACAAATAAGCAGAGATGGCCAGGTAATGTTATTCTTTTCTAAAGTCTTCTTTACTTGGTAAAACCATGTATTGTTTATTAGCTTGTTTAGCCTTGACATTTATCTCAATTGTCTTCACATATCTGTTAGTCTGAATCATGGTTCATTGATGAACATTGTACATTCTGCTAATGCATCACTCTTGAAGTAATCAAGGCATTTTGGTAAAATCAAAGCAGTTTCTTGCATAATATGTGTTAACAATACCCACCATTTAAAGCTGGATGCTTCCTAAAAGAAACCTTTTTCGAATTTGTAATTTTGGTTCTGGACATGTGTTTTGTTCAGTTTTTTTCCCACCCAAATAACTATTCATAATTATAGCTTTGAGTTTCCTGTAAAGACCGAAGGGTATCTTGAGATTTGAGGCAGAAGCAAGCTTAGGACGGTTCTCCAATCTGTTAAAGCTAAATGCAGCTACAAAGAGCTAGAGGAGAAATGGTACAAGAGTTCTCTGTGGCAGTTTCTATGTTCTCCCCAGTCCCCTCCCAAAATATTTCCTTGATAAGAGATTCTAGAGCTAGACTTGTCATCTTCCGATTACTTCCCAAAACCTCCAGAGTTGTAAGAGTGAGGAAAAAAACATACCGTAAGACCGAGGAAAGGAACGTGGCACGTTACGGAGTTAACAGTGCTTCTGTTGTAAGTGGCCCTTAAGACCTGAAGAATCTTAACGACCTTAAGAACAACTGATTTATATTAATGTCTATGATTCCACCAAGGGCCACTGTATTACCTGTGATGTGCCTTTCCACATTCTGTACCACACTTGACTGAATTAAACTTAAAGGGCGTGGAGAATGTTGATCTTTAGCTAATATGTTAAGTGACCTGTGGAAAGTACGAAGTATATAGTGCATATGTTCTTGTATATGTTGGTGGTGTGTTCACTCAGAATTCTCTTCTTCAGAACTGCCATCTTACTGTGAATTAAAAAAATCCTCAACCAACCTGTAGGCCAGGCTTGCCTGAGCCTTGAGCTCTAGTGAAAAAACCTTCCTGTGCAGGGAGTTCTAATGCATGTCTCAATAGCAAAGGGAATGAGCTCTTACAGAAAGACTGAAAGAAATACCATTAACTTTATGAAACAATTTTGTTTTAAATGGTTTCTATGTATTAAGTAGTAGTAGTGCAAATATTTTTCCTAATTTCCTGCTCATTTCTAGGAGCTGGAACCACAAGTTGGAGAGCAGTTGCTACAGCTTTGGGACCGTACTCCTTTGGCAGGAAAAAGCTCAAGTGATTGAGCATGTCAACTAAAGTGACAGAGGTAGTTATTTCATGCATTATTTGCTGTTTTTATGATAAAGGAAAAGCTATCTGTATACAACATATCATTACAGTACAGTCTTCCCTTTGTAATTTCATAGAATGATAGAATGGTTAGGGTTGGAAGGCACCTCAAAGATCGAGTTCCAATCCCCTGCCATGGGCAGGGACACCTCCCACTAGAGCAGGTTGCTCAAGGCCCCATCCAGCCTGGCCTTGAACACTTCCCAGGGATGGGGCATCCACAGCTTCTCTGGGCAACCTGTTCCAGTGTCTCACCACCCTCATAGTGAGAAATTTCTTCCTGAGATCTAATCTGAATCTTTTTTCTTCCCATTTAAAACCGTTTCCCCTTGTCCTATCACTACCCTTCCTGGCAAAGAGTCCTTCTCCAGCTCTTCTATAGGCACCCTTCAGGTATTGAAAGGCCGCTAGAAGGTCTCCCCGGAGCCTTCTCTTCTCCAGACTGAACAATCCCAGCTCCCTCAGCCTGTCTTCTTAGGAGAGGTGCTCCATCCCTCTGATCATCTCCGTGGCCCTCCGCTGCAACTGTTCCAGCCGGTCCATGTCCTTTCTGTGTTGAGGACTCCAAAGCTGGACACAGTATTCCCGGTGGGGTCTCACAAGTGCAGAGTAGAGGGGCAGAATCACCTCCCGAGACCTGCTGGCCACACTTCTCCTGATGCAGCCCAGGACACGGTTGGCTCTCTGGGCTGCCAGCGCGCACTGCCGGCTCATGTTGAGCTTCTCGTCCATAAGCACTCCCAAGTCCTTCTCCTCAGAGCTGCTCTCCAGCCAATCTCCACCCAACCTGTATTTGTGCCTGGGGTTGCCACGTCTCAGGTGCAGGACCCTGCACTTGGCTTGGTTGAACCTCATGCAATTTGCACGAGCTCACCTCTCCAGCCTGTCCAGGTCCCTCTGGATGGCACCCCTTCCCTCCAGCATGTCAAGTGTGCCACCGAGCTTGGTGTCATCAGCAAACTTGCTGAGGGTGCACTCTATCCCACTGTCCATGTCTCCAACAAAGATGTTGAATAGTACTGGTCCCAGTACCGACCCCTGCGGAACACCACTCGTTACTGGCTGCCACCTGGACATTGAGCCATTGACTGCCACCCTTTGGGTGCGGCCGTCCAGCCAGCTCCTTATCCACCGAGTGGTCCATCCATCGAATCCATGGGTTTCCAATTTTGAGACCAGGATGTCGTGTGGGACAGTGTCAAATGCTTTGCATAAGTCCAGGTAGATGACATCAGTTGCTCTGCCCTTGTCTACCAAGTCTGTGGCAGTATCATAAAAGGCCACCAGATTTGTCAGGCACGATTTGCCCTTGGTGAAGCCATGTTGGCTGTCTCCAATCACCTCCTTATTTTCCATGGGCCTTAGCAGAAATTTCAGGAGGATCTGCTCCATGATCTTGCCAGGCACAGAGGTGAGACTGACCGGCCTGTAGTTCCCCAGGTTGTCTTTGTTTCCTTTTTTGAATATCGGACTTATGTTCCCTTTTTTCCAATCAGTGGGAACTTCACCAGACTGCCACGATTTCTCAAATATGATGGAGAGGGGCTTAGCAATTTCATCTGCCAGCTCTTTCAGGACCCGTGGATGGATTTCATCAGGTCCCATGGACTTATGCCCCTTCAGGTTCCTTAAGAGGTCACGAACCTCCTCTTCTTGTACTGGGGTGGTTCTTCATTCTCAGAGCCCCTGTACTTGCTCTCTGTGACTTGTGCAGTGTGGCCAGGGCCCCTGCTAGTGAAGACTGAGGCCAAAAAGTCATTCAGTAGCTCAGCCTTGTCTGCATCCTGGGTGACCAGGTCTCCCGCTTCCCTCCGGAGGGGACCCACAGCTTCCCTCGTCTTACCCTTATCCCTGATATATCTCTAGAAGTTCTTCTTGTTATCTTTCACATCCCTGACTAGATCTAGTTCTGTCTGGGCTTTTGCTTGCCTGATCTGGTTTCTGGTGACTCGGACAGTTCCTCTGGATTCTACCCAGTCCATCTTTCCCTGCTTCCACCCTCTGTAGGCCTCCCTCTTGGTCCTGACCTTGCCCAGCAGTTCCCTGCTCATCCATGCAGGCCTGCCAGCTACTCTGCCCGACTTCTTCTTTTTTGGGATGCACCTCTCCTGAGCTTGGAGGAGGCAATCCCTAAATACCACCCAGCTCTCCTGGGCCCCTCTCCCCTCTAGTTCTTTTTCCCATGCTACCTTGCCAATCGGATCTCTCAGGAGATCCAAGTCTGCTCTCTTGAAGTCCAGAGTAGCCAGCTTGCTGCACACCCTCCTTGCTGCCTTATGAATCTTGAATTCTATCACCTCCTGATCACTGCGGCCGAGGCTACCCTTGAATTTGACATTCCCGACCAGCCCCTCCTTGTTGGTAAGGACGAGGTCCAGCACTGCTCCTTTCCTCGGTGGTTCTTCAATTATTTGAAAAAGAAGGTTGTCGTCAACGCATTCCAAGAACTTCCTGGATTTCCCGTGCTCTGCTGTGTTGTCCTTCCAACAGATAGCGAGGTGGTTGAAGTCCCCCATGAGTACCAGAGTGTGTGAGCGCTATGCTGCCCCTATCTGTTTATAGAGGGCCGCATCCTCACTGTCACTTTGATCCGGTGGCCTGTAGCAGACTCCTCCTGTAACATCACCTGCCCCCGTGCTCCCTTTAATCCTCGCCCCTAAGGTCTCTGTTGTGTCTTCATCCGTCCCCAGTTGGAGCTCTATACATTCCAGGTGGTCCTTGACATAGAGGGCAACACCCCCCCCTTTTCTGCCCATCCTGTCCTTCCTGAAGAGTCTGTAACCCTCCTTTCCAACACTCCAGTCCTAAGAGCCATCCCACCATGTCTCAGCGATGCCAATAAGGTCGTAGCCTTGGAGGCTTGCGCACATCTCTAATTCCTCTTGCTTATTCCCCATGCTGCGTGCATTTGTGTATAGGCACTTCAGCTGGGTGCCTAAAGGGGCTGACTTTTTAGCTGAGATGGTAGGTTGATGGCTCTCCTTGAGTTTTTTTTCGTTTGACCTGTGTTTAACCCCCTGCCCCTTCGGACCTAGTTTAAAGCCCTTTCAACAAGTCCTGCCAACTCGCAGGCCAGTATCTTTCTACCCCTCTGAGACAGGTGTACTCCGTCTGCTGCTATCGTATCTGGTGCCATGTGAATTTCCCTGAGGTCAAAAAACCCAAAATTTCGTTGGTGGCACCAGTTTCTGAGCCACTTGTTAATCATGTATGCCTTTTTATTTCTTTCAGTATTCTTGCCTGCAACTAAGGGTATTGCTGAAAAAATTATCTGTGCTCCTGATCCCTCAACCAGTTTCCCCAATGTCTTAAAGTCCTTTTTGATTGTTTTTAAGTTTCCAGTATTGACCTCATCATTTCCCACCATTGATCTGCTCACACCTAACACAGGTGTTGTCTCTATTATCCATCATTGCCAGGTTCCAGCACTCACTGCAACCAGTTGCCTGGGTGCCTGCATGTTTGTGTCCATTCATTTGTGGAAGAACAGGTACATTTAGTAATAAATATTCACTTTTTTTTTTTTTTTAGCTGGGGTTGTTGAAACAGCTATGACCACTAGAACCAGCAGCGTGCCTACAACATAAAGATGAGGAAGAAGGCAGTGCAACAAGCTCCTGAAGTTGTTAGTGATGCTGAGCAGCTAGCACTGGAAAATTAGGAGGGAATTATGTTGGTTTGAGTATTTCTTTGTCTTAACAAATGTAACATTGTTCACCAGCCTTTTTTTGACTGAATTATTTTTTTACAGTAGTATGCAGTTGATGTTTAAAAACGTGGTTAAGTTCAAAACTAAGTTTGAAACAATGGACCACGTATAAGTTGTTTGTGGGTTTAAAATAGCACAGCGGTCAGTTTAAATACACAGTTTACATTTAAAGCTTTCTCAACACAGTAAAATGTATGAGAGAAACCAGTGTAATATTAATTAATCAATCTTGCAGTTTGCTTAAAATAAATAAATTGAGAATAGGTGTCTCCAAATATATTGGAAGATTCCATAAATGTTGAACTTCTATATGCACAGTGTGAGAGAGCAGGATATATGCATGCAAACAACTGGGCAGCTGGAGAATGTAAAATTTTAATTTAAATACATAAGTGAAAGGAGCATGAGATTTTTGAGAGTGGGTTGGTCCAATGTGTGTTTTGAGTTTCAATTATTTTTCACCATTAAAAGGTACTCACACTTTGGCAAGCTGAAACAGTCTTTAAGAGGTCTGCTGCCAAATGGTACTCTAGTGGCAGAGATAGTGGCAGAGACCGGCTCCAGGGCAGGTAAGACAGCGCTGGGTGAGGGATCTGTAGCTGGAAAGGCCGACGAAAAGCTCTTTTGGGAGCTTTTTGGACGCAGGGCAAAGCCTCCTCCTCGTGATGGAGGCTGACAGGCGGTGGGCGGGCTGCTGAGTGGCCTGGGCGGCGCCAGCACCTCCCGCGGCCCGTCACACCTGATAAGGAGCCCCGGGGAGGGGCTCGGGGGTGTGTCTTGGTCAGTGCCTCACGTTGCTGTGACTTGTACAACAGCGTCCTGAACCTCTTCCTTTGTACAAGGTAAGTTCAGTTTCTTTCAGTAGTTACACGACTGGCACTGAGCCTCCCGCTGTCTCTTGCTAACAGACAACAAGCTATGGTCAGAACTAGGTCGAAGGCCATTGTTAAGAAAGCCGTGGGCACTCAGGCAGAGGCCCCGCGTAAACGTGTGGGTGTCCAGGCCTCTGGATGCAGGGAGTGGCGACAACACCTGTGTGAGATGCCAACAGGTGAATGATCTCCTCAGCCTGGTGGTTGAGCTGAAGGAGGAAGTGGAAAGGTTGAGGACTATCAGGGAGTGTGAGAAGGAGATAGACTGGTGGGCCCACTCCCTGAGAGTAAGGGAACATGTTGGGGCCCCACATACAACAGAGGACCATCCCCCCACTTCTCACCCGGCAGTAGAAGGGGACCTCGGAGAGGAGGGGGGATGGAAAAAGGTCCCTGCTAGGCGAAGCAGGCAAATCTCCTCCCTGCCCCTCCCACCTCCCCAGCTACCCCTCCAGAACCGATACAGGATCTTGGAAGAGGAACTGGCTGCTGGAGAGGAGGATGGAACGTCTTGGCTAGAAACGCCAGAAAAACCAAGGGTCCTGCCTCAGAGTGGGAAGCGGAACCCTCAACAGCCTCCCCACACTCCCAGATACACTTGTTCGGTGATCTGGATTTTGGGGATGAGGCAGATGATGCTGGAGACAATGAACTCCCCAGTGAGGCTCCCTGGAATAGTCACCCAGCCCCGGGTCTCAGGACCTCAACGACTAAGAAAAAAAAGAAGGGTCATTGTAATCGGTGACTCCCTTTTGTATGGTACAGAGGGCCCAATCTGTAGGCCGGACCCGTCCCATAGGGAAGTCACCTGCCTCCCTGGGGCCAGGACTAGGGACATACTAAATAAAACTCGCACCCTGGTTCAACCCTCGGACTACTACCCACTTCTGATATTTCAGGTGGGCCATGATGAGGTAAATACTAGAAGCCTCAAGGCAATGAGAAAGGATTTCAGAAGTCTGGGACAACTAGTCAAGGGATCAGGAGCACAGGTTGTGTTCTCCTCTATCCCACTAGTCACAGGGCAGGATGAAAGGATAAATAGGAAAAAACAACAGTTTAACTTATGGCTGAAAGGCTGGAGTAAAAGCCAGGACTTTGGATTCTTTGAGCACAGGCTGACTTACAGGTCACCAGGCATGGTTGCAGCAGGTGGGGAAAGCCTAAGCCAAAGGGGAAAAAGGATATTGGGACAGGAGGTAGCACGGCTCATTGAGAGGGCTTTAAACTAGATTTGAAGGGGGACAGGGTTGGAACCAGGGTCACTGAAGTGGTACCTGGGAGTAAACTAGAATTGAAGGGGGAAGGGGAGAATACCAGGCCCATTGGTGATGAGCCTGGGGGGAAAGTACCATGGATGGGGGTGAAATCGGGTGCCCGGCTTAAGTGCATCTACACTATTGCACGTAGCATGGGCAACAAACAAGATGAGCTGGAAGCCATTGTGCAGCAGGACAGCTATGATGTAATCGCCATCACAGAAACATGGTGGGATGATGGTCATAGCTGGAATGCTGTGATGGATGGCTATAAGCTCTTCAGGAGGGATAGGCAAGGAAGGAGAGGTGGGGGTGTGGCTCTATATGTTAGGGAGTGTTTTGATTGTATGGAAATAACTGTATCATTGCTGCAATCTGAGTGTTTATGGGTAAAGATGGAGGGCAAGGCTAGCAAGGGAGATCTGGTGCTGGGATATAGACCACCCAACCAGGATGAGGAGGCAGACGAGGTATTCTATAAGCAGCTGGCTGAAGTCTCTCGATCGCCAGCCCTTGTTCTGGTTGGGGACTTCAACCTACCGGACATCTGCTGGGAATACAACACAGCCGAGAGCAGGCAGGCTAGGAGGTTCCTTGAGTGTATGGAAGATAACTTCCTGACACAACTAGTAGGTGAGCCAACCAGGGGAGGTGCCTCACTAGACCTGCTGCTCACAAATAGAGAGGGACTAGTGGGAGATGTGGTGGTCGGAGGCCGTCTTGGGCTTAGCGACCATGAAATGGTCAAGTTTTCAATTATTAGAGAGGTAAGGAAAGGGACTAGCAAAACCTCAACCTTGGACTTCCGGCGGGCAGACTTCAGCCTTTTCAGATCACTGGTTGGAAAAGTCCCATGGGAGGAATCCCTGAAGGGCAAAGGTGTTCAGGAAGGCTGGGTGTTTTTCAAGGAGGAAGTCTTAAAAGCCCAAGCCCAGGCCATCCCTACACGCTGTAAAGCGAGCCGTCGGGGGAAAAGGCCAGCCTGGCTGAGCAAAGAGATAGCATCACAGCTTAGAGAAAAAAGGAGAATTTATGACCTTTGGAAAAAGGGGCAGGCCACGCAGGAAGATTACAA